AGATCACAAGTGGACGGCACTAAATACAGGTGTAAACGGGGTCTAAAATGTTTCGAGTTCATTGAGGTCAGAGGTAATTGAAAACACATTCGACCGGATTGCTAGCTTGCTCATTGGATCGAATGAAAAGAAAAGACCGTCCACTAGATGTTTTTCCAGCTTCTAGCATCTCTCGTTGTGCGTCAGTATGTTAGGAATCCCTCAGTGGGACGCTGGAGAGTCTTCAGGAGCACATCAGTGACGGCTTTGTGGCTGTCGTTCCTCCAGACTCCGGCGGGCCGACACACAAGCTCTTTGTGACTGAGCAGCTCGGTCAAAATCACAGTATTATGAGTGACACACAATGGACAGTTGATAGTTCAGGAGAAATGCATCATCTCTATAAACGCCGCTATTCTGAGTTACTCTGTGGTCGTGTGCTGCACAACCGGGTGTTGATTGAGTCATGGATTTTGTAATAGCCAATACTGAAAAAAGAACATTTATAGAACAGTGTGCACAATGGCCAATGTAAAGATTATAATAATATACACTACTGTACAAAAGTCTGGGGTTTCAGTAAGATGTTTTCAGTAAGACACATGCATTGAAATGACCAAAAGTGACAGTAAAGACATAGTGTTTTGGTTTTTATTTCAAATAAACGCTGTTCTTTTGAACCTTATTCATCAAATGTATCACGGTTTCCACAAAATATGAAGCAACACACCTGTTTTCAACATTGATAATAATCAGAAATGCTTATTGAGCAGCAAATCATCATATTAGAGTGATTTCTGAAGGATCGTGTGACACTGAAGACTGGAGTAATGAAGCTGAAAATACAGCTTTGATCACAGGAATAAATTACACTTTACTATATATTCACATAGAAAACAGATATTTTACATTGCAATAATATTTGACAGTATTACTGTTTTTACTGTATTTTTAATCAAATAAATGCAGCCTTGGTGAGCAGAAAAATCTTACTGACCCCAACATTTTTTATGCTAGCATAGGCCTACTAATTTAATATATATACAATATATAATGACAAATAAGACCTACAAAAAAATTGCTCAAATCAAACAAACACCTTTTCGATTAAAATGTTTTAAAAAATCACTATAAACCCTTAAAAACCGCCCACTAAGAAGCCAAAGCAAATTTAGAAAGCAGCCTTTAATGTGTCAGTGTATTGCTTCAGACTTCAGTGTTTGCCCACACAGATCATGCCATCATCACATCCGTGCACTAGCAAAAGCCTAAATAGAGCGATTGTTTGATGCTGTACATGCATTGTTTCATGATGTTGAATGCTCAGTTTTGAACAATGGTCAGAAAGGTCAGTTTTAGAAACGTATGACATGACGCATCACCAAACGGGCTCATGAACCCGATGAAACCAAGCGTTCCCCTCATCTCGCTAATGCAAAGTGACGTGCAAGTGTCTGAGTGGTCTGTCTGGAGAAGTGCACGTCGTCTCTCTCTCTCTCTGTCTCTACCTGCACACTGTACTGAGCACTTCTGTATTCTTCCATGCAAAACAGAAATACACTGACGTTCGTTCACTCAGCGCTGACCGAGCCACTGACTCCATCTGGGGGTTTTAATGGACTGTGACACAGATAAAGCAAGCAAGCCGTCGGCAACATTTTTTTGATCATATTCAGTGAAATCGACACTATAATCCGACAGAACAACATAAATAAAGTGGTTTTAGAAAAAAACCCGAGCTTCTAACTCCACCTGGAGCGTGTTATTTGTTTTGCAAAAATCCACAGCTCCCGGTTCATCATGTCCAATCAGCGCAGGGGGGTGGTGAGATCTGACTGTCAATCACAGGTCGTGCACACGCTCCCCCTCGCGCACGTTACAATCACATGCACACGCCTGAAGTTCGCGCAGTAACGAAGAGTGATGGCGGATGTATCTTGCTTTCAAAACACTAGTGATGTATGTCTCGAGACCGGTCTCGAGACCACTTTTACGTGGTCTCGGTCTTGTCACGGCCTTGGCTGTCTTTGGTCTTGGTCTCGGACCTCTCGGTCTTGTCTAGGTCTCGCTGTCTCAGACCGACATAGTGGTCGGGGGATTTAGCAATACAATACTACAATATCCACGACGATATCTCCAACGGATTGAAGCGCGCGTCCGAGTGAAGACAGTGCGGTGCGCGAGCCGTATCCGCGCCACTGATCGCAGCGGCAACGAGCACTTTGATCACTTGATTTAAAAAACACATATCATGTACAGTTTTTGATGTATTAATATTTAGTAAAACACAAATCAGTGACATGATGGGTTTTACCTTCATTCAGGAGATTTTGGGTAACTGCACAACTGACAGATGACTTTGAGCGCACCGCCAACGGTGTGTGTGTGTGTGTGTGTGTGTGTGTGTAACCATAGCGACAAAACAACCAACTTTCAGATCCTGCACTTACGCTTATAATTTCGTTTTTTAAAATATAATTATGTATTTAAAAGTTGCAGAATGGATTCATTTGGAGACTTTGAAATCGGCAGAGATAGATGCAGGCAATGCAAAACAAAATCTTACAAGTTATTGCTTAGCTTCAACAACACTAGTCTGTTTTTTCCCCTCCGGTCTCGGTCTTGGTCTTGACTTGGTCTCGGTCTTGGTCTCGACTTGCTTTGTCTTGGTCTTGGTCTTGGTCTTGTCTTGGTCTCGATACCCTCTGGTCTTGGTAGTGTCTTGGTCTCGGTTTAGGCGGTCTTGACTACAAGTCTACAAAACACTAACAAATCAAGTAAGCTCATTTAGAGAATAAATGACGTTAGCAATTGCAATCTATCGGTAGATTAGCCAGGGCAGCATACCTCCAAATACTCCATGGTGTTGATGGATGCTGATGAGACGGGCGCGTTCACAGATAACCTGGTGCACACGCACTGACGAGCACGAACTCAGTGGGAGGGTATCCGTTGATAGTGGGGGAGGGGCATGAGAGTTGTAAACATTCAAAATTTTGCCTAAATCCACTCAATCTGCCAGACTTGCCGACTGCAGCTTTAATATGAAACTAGTATAGATAAATTCACTTACTAACCTTGCCTGTGTAAAGTTAAATCCAGTTTTTTTAATCTCCTGTCATGAGATTAAAGCTGGAATACTTTTTTAAAATAAACACTCTTATAAATAAAGGTTCTTTATTGGCACTGATGGTTCCATGAAGAACCTTCAAAATCCATGGAATCTTTCCATTCCACAAAAGGGTTCTTTAGAATTTTAAAATGTTCTTCGCACTAAAAAAATGGTCCTTTTAAGAACTTTTCGCTGAAATTTATTTTGGGGAACCAAGAATGTACAGCATCACTGGGAAAACCCCCTTTTAGAAGCGGAGAAAATTACAATTATTATTAGATTGTCTATAACTGAGAAGAGCCTCATGGATTTGATTGCACAGACCCAGGGGCGTGAGATGATTGAGCTTTATGAAATATACATTAGCTTCTTGTCTCAAGCTGTTCTAGTTTTCTTTATGAATTCTTCAGCTGAATATAGATTTGAGTAATGTAAGAGGGATCGTCTGTAAATGAGAAGCTCATCCCACAGAGAGACAGAGCCTGGTCATGTGATCTATTAAAGCCGAGCAACTAATGCCGTGACTGATGAAGCTTTATGATTCATTGCGGGGAAATTAAAAGAAAACTAAAGATTAAATTGTGTGGTAACAGTTTAGAGTAAGATCCCATTATGGGACTAATGCTACATAATGTTAAATCAATGTAAAGTGGTACCAACTGAACACACACATAAATCGCACTGTAATTCTTTCAGAAATAGAAACTTCCCAGGAGAGTGTCTCGCAATGGCACTGAACTGTGGTGTTTGCGTCATCAATATGAGCAAATGACAGAGTATTGACAGCAGTTGTTTACTACGGTATCTTGGCAACACTAAGGATGTGTCATCATCGTTTACGTAACAACATGTGCACACTTGCATCTGTGCTGCGAATGCATTGCAGGAGATGAAGAATGTGAACTGCTCGCTGAAGACATGGACATGAATTATACATTAGTCTGCAAATTATGCTTCAGCAAATTATACCGTATCGCATTCATACTAATTGCTTAAAGGTGCTATATGGAACTTTTCTTCTAAAATGAATCCTTTTTTTATTGCCTGTGTGTGAAGGGGTTGTAATCACACATTACAATGATCCACTTGTCGGGTTTTGCTATTACCTCTGAAGGCCAGTATTCCTATTTCTATGTGAAGTCTCCGGGTCGGATTTACCGCGAAATCCAACGGATGTGACGTGCACGCGCGCTCCCGAGCCTCTCTCCTTATATACAGTCTATTAAAGTCCGGTTAAAGGCGCACGTTTTTTGGCTTATATCTCAGTCAATCTTTGATCAATATTCCCAAGACTCGAATCGTTCGTAGTGCTGGACGGGGCCTTTCGAACGAGCCCACCCCAGAGGTCCAACTCGCCCGGCTCCCCGAGTTATAGCCGTTCGAAATCGGGGGGCCCAGCGAACGGCGATCCGGTAGGGAGCATCCCCGAGGCCCGCCACTCTAGCGTTCGGGCAAGGGTTCCCCTGGGACCTCCTCCCCCGAATTTGAGCTCTCTGGGTCTTTGCGTTCCAGAGATACGAGCGATTTTCTTCTGAGATCGTGACGTCACCGGCGTCCGCAATTTAGCAGCGCGCCCGATGGTTTTCTGCTAATATCTCCGCGAAAACACCACCAAAAACTATGGAACTTATATGGTTCTTTTCAGCTCTACTAGATGGTCCCAACGAGCTCGGTGCTCGCCGAATCCGTCTAGTATTCGCCGAGATATTTGCGTAATAGACGGTATTGTCTATGAGTTCGAGCACGAGCGCTCTTGTAAAATTTGGTTGCAATCTGAAACATCACCACTAGAGGCCGCTAAAAGTTACTTAGAGCACCTTTAATATATATATACACTGTACATACACAAGAGTTTGGAAAACAAGCCAAACTAGTCCTGAAACTATCGTAATATTGTGATGTGTCTCAGGCTCAGGTTGAAGCTCAGAGAGCCACACAGGAGTATCAGCGGGCGATGGAGATCCTGCGGGCAGCGAAGGAGACCATCGCTCTGGCCGAGGAGCGTCTCCTGGAGGAGGACAGCAGACAGTTTGACTCGGCCTGGCAGGAGATGCTCAACCACGCCACCCAGAGGGTGAGAGACACAACGCCACTCACCATAAACATGCTACACTCTATATGAGTTACAATATTCTGTTCTATGCTATGCAGTTAATGTGATTCTGAACTGCTCTGATTGGCTCTTCCAGGTGATGGAGGCGGAGCAAACCAGGACACGCAGTGAACTCGAGCACAGAGAAACAGCGACCAAATACAACGCCGCCATCAGCCACATGAGACAACTGGAGAAGAAGCTCAAACGCACCATCAACAAGTCCAGGTCAGAGGACAGCCATCCATCTCTCCATCCATCCATCTTTACATCCATCCATCTCTCCATCCATCCATCCAACCATCTGTCCATACATCCATCTGTCTCCATCCATACATCTCTCCATCCATCCATCCATCTCTCCATCCATCCATCCATCCATCCATCCATCTCTCCATCCATCCATCCATACATCTCTCCATCCATCCTTCCATCCATCCATCCATCTGTCCATCAATCCATCCATCTCTCCATCCATCCATCCATACATCTGTCCATCCATCCATACATCTCTCCATCCATACATCTCTCCATCCATCCATCCATCCTTCCACATCCATCCATCTTTCCATCCATCCTTCCACATCCATCCACCTCTCCATCCATCCATCTCTCCATCCATCCTTCCATCTCTCCATCCATCCATATCTCCATCTCTCCATCCATCCATCCGTCCATCTCTCCATCCACCCATCCATCCATCCATCCATCCATCCATTTATCCACCCATTTATCCATCCAAACACCCACCCACCCATACATCAATGCATCAGTCTGTTTTTGATATACATACACTACCGCTCTAAGTTTGAGGTCTGTAAGATTTGTTTTGTAAGAATTTAATGCTTTTATTCAGCAAGCACACATTAAATTGATAAATATACAGAAAATCTTTCTTCGAGGCATTTATATAAAGATAATACACATAAATGTTGCAATGGACATAAAGAGGAGACACCCTAAAATCTTGCTGAAACAAGTTCTGCTGCACGCACTCGTTCTGCAGGACATGCATCATTCATAATGATTCATTTCAAAAACATATTTGGGAATAAAATTATGTTTGCTTCAGAAAACCCACAAAATGTTTCCTCTCTCTCTCACATATAACTGACCAAACCTCTGTGTTCCCCCACCCCGGGCCTCTGCTGTGCATGGAAGTGTAGCTCAGTGTGGGCCGTCTCTAATGTGTTCCAGATGTGCTTCTGCTGATGGAATGTGCGGCTCTTTCACAGAGCTCTGCTGTTGCCATGGAAACCGGCTCTGAGACTCACTCTGTTCTAATGTCCTCTTTCTCTCCCTCTGCAGACCGTACTTTGAATTAAAGGCCAAGTATTATCTGCAGCTCGAGGTACGTCACTTTTTATTTGGCACAAAATAACTTGAAATACTTTTCATTAAAAAAAATCAAAGATTACTTTTTTTAAAGGGGTCATATAATGCCATTTTTGTACAAGCTAATATGATTCTTTAGGGTCTAAATTAAAAGTTTGTAATATACTTTAATTAAAAATTCTCATTAGTATTGTAAGAAAACACTTATTTTACCTGGTCAAAAACAGCTCTGTTTTCAGCACGCCGTTTCAGTGCATATGACTTTAAATGATAATGAGCTTTGCTCACTCCGCCTCTCTGTTCTGTGCATACACCGTTTGTAACACAATAACACAATAACCAAACGCGTTGTTCATTATAAACGTGGGATTATGAATTATATTGAGAACGTCATACATAGAAAACATGCCGTAATGTACCGTGAGTGTAAACCTTAGACGCATTCATCGTGAAGCGTGCAGCTAGCGATTTGCAAAGATTAATATAAATATTAATATAAAGATTAATAAAACGTTACACTCACTTTAGTTCTTCTGAAGGTTCAGCAGGAAGACGAATAGGTTCCGATCCTTTATTCAGGTGCAGCTTCTCAGCAAAACCAGCTTTACACTGATCATCGTTTATAAAGCAGTCCACTGAGAAATGATTCGCGCAAACATGAACGCATTGACATTGCTCGTGGGGAATATTCCCTTCGAAAACAAACTCAGCCACTGCGTCTTCAGCGTTTCGGATTTAGGAACATTAAAATGACTGTGTTCGTTATTACACCCAAGAACAGAACACCACAATCGCTTAGACGCCATTCTGCTCATAGACAGTGCTCCAGCATATCAACAATGAGCGCGCCGGTCCGCGCAGACTATGATTGACAGGACGAGCGAGGGCGGGTCTGTGTTGAATCACTGCTGTCAATCAACAATCGCGGGAGGGGCGTCCGTTTTATTGACGTCACAAAAACGAACGGCTCAATTTGAGGCAGGGTAAAACATATAAGGAGATTAAAACAAAAACACTGGATGGATTTTTATCATATGATGGTTGTGTACAGGCACTGCCAACACACATTTCAGTACAATCAACTTGTAAAAGTGCATGTACCATTATATGACCCCTTTAAATAATATTTATATACATATATTTATAGATCTTTTTTATTCATTCATTCATATTTATTTATTTTTTATCTAAAGAAAATGAAGGCTATTTTTAAAACCATTAAGTACTCATTTCACCCTTAATTCTCATTACTGTAATATGAATAAAATAATTAGGAAATTATTTAAATTGTAATGATTTATCATTGTAGTTTTTGTTGTACTGAAATTAACTTCTGTTGATGTATATAAATCATTGTACTACAGTAATTTTTAAAATATTTTAAAACTCCTTCAATTAAATTTAAATCTAAATTAAAAATAATATTTCTCAAATATTTAAAACATTATATTTAAATTTAAATATTTTATGTATATTTTATAATTAAAAATACAGTATGTAATAAAGTAATCTCAGGAGAATCACCATTAAGCATAATGGAAATTCCAATAAATAAATAAATATATTTTTTAAAACATACAAGCGCATTACAGTAATGAGACTACTTCAATTAAATGTATATTTAAATATATATAATTAAAAAAAATATTATGTTTTAATATATTTTATTTAAAAAAATACAGTATGTAATACAGTAATGATAATCTCAGAAGAATCATCATTAAGAATAATAGAAATATAAAAATAAGATAAATAAATGTATAAATAAATTTAAATACATACATACAAATTACAGGCGCATTACAGTAATGAGAATTTGGGGGAAAATGTGCTAATATGCTAATAAAAATGTAATGATCCAAAAGTACCTTTCTTTCTTTAGACATTTTCTTTAGACAATTTTTGCATGTTTTTAGTCATCCAAGAGTATTGCTTTTAGAAGCAACAACTAACATGTAGATTTGATCTGATTTTGGATAATTAATATGAGTGACCTGTTCTCCGCTTTACCTTGTCCTCCTTCTCCCATACAGCAACTGAAGAGACGGGTCGACGAGCGTCAGGCTAAACTAACCCAGGCCAAAGCCGAGTACCGGACGGCCCTTCGGAACCTGGAGACCATCTCGGATGAGATCCACGCCCGGCGCCGGCTCTCGGTCATGGGGCCCCGGGGCCGAGGGGTGGGGGCCGAAGATGACGCGGCCGCTGCCGACGACATCGCCAACTTCAAAATGGAGTCTGACGGCATATCGAGTAAGTGAGATCATACATAATGCGCATTGTAATTCATTTTTTAACACATACAGCAGTACTGAAAAGAAACATTTCACAAATATAAGTTCATTTGGTTTAAAATTGTTTATATATTTTAGCCAATTCAATAAAATTCATACATTTTAAGTGATTTCTATATTTTTTTGTGCGACTGTATAAGCGAAAAAGTAGTTTATACCCGTTTCTCTGATCCAAAATCATGCTGAATTACAATCAAATCTGTCAACCTTATAATTCATTTTTTTTTTTTCAGTTTTACTTTAGAGCTTAACCTAAACTAAAATTTGAAATGATGTTGCTTTGGCAACTAACTGCTGATACAAAATAATTTTATTTTAGACTGACTATATAGTTTTTATTCAGTTTGATTTCGTTTTAGATCCGAGAGACGAAACAAAATGTAGCTATTACAGTGGCATAAAAAAGTGAATATAAACTATATTTTATTGCATCAGATAATGAAATATCATATTTGACCATTTCGCACCAAACAAACTTCTATTTGTGAAATGTTTTGCTTACCGCTGTATGTATTTAATAATTTCTGGTCCCTCAAGTAGCCAAAAATAGTTGTAATATACACTTCCAAGTTTATTAGATAACTGGATTGGTAAGCAAGCTAGAAAAGAAATAGCAACTAACAATATTCGAAATGCTGATGTGTTTTTTCTACAGTGATGTCAGTGAATTTGGAGGACAGCTGCACCGGCACGACATCAGAAGAGGCCCCCGAGACACAGTCCACCGGCAGCCTGAGCTCCACATCTGCGCCTCTGGACCTGCCCTGTCCGTTCCCCTCCTCTTCCTCCCCATATCCCCTGCTCTCGTCCTCCTGCCCGTACCCGTCCTCCTCGCCGCCGCCGTCTCCCTGCGCCGGCCCTGAGCTGCTCCAGCTGCCCGGCTCGGGGTCTCTGGAGGGCTTCGAGCAGGAGTCTCCGGTGTTGGGCCCTCGCAGCGAGTGCAGCGGGGCCTCGTCACCAGACTGTGAACAGGAGCGAGGTGAGAGCCAACAGAGATTAAACCATGAGGACGGACTCAGATGTGTGGAGGCATCAAGTTACCGGCCAACTAGCGAGTTTTATTCACTTGCCAAAGACAGTTTTACTTACGAGGAATTGTGGCAAAATGTTGATTATCCACAAAAATTGTAAAAAAATATTTATTTTTTATTTTTATTTATTTAACAGGGACCATGCGCAACTAATGTTGTGCCCGAGTTAGCTAATTTGCATCTGTGGTCCCAGGACAGGATGTTGTTACATAAAATTACAGTTTACAATCTGTTTACAATCCAGAAAAAATAAGAAAATAATAATAATATAACATCACAATATAACAAATTACAATATCACAATATCAAATCACAAAAACAAAAAATATGAATAAAAAAAAATCCAAATTAATGATTGGCTACATGCTTTATTTTTCTTAAGCCATACATTTTTCTTTATTATATTTGGATTTTTAGCTAATTTGCATCTGTGGTCCCTGGACAGGATTAAAATAATAATAATAAAAAAGAAAATAATAATAATATTACATCACAATATACAAAATTACAATATCAAATCACAAAAACAAAAAATAATAATTAATAATTTATAATAAGATTGAATAAGATTATGATTTTTCTCATATATATATATATATTTTTTAAATGTGTCTTTATTATATTTGATTTTTTTTTTTACAATAAACAAGCCAGAATGATTAAGCAATAATTTAAGTGCAATTGCTTATCCCTCATTTTCTTTCAAAAAAAAAAAAGCAAAAAAAGCACTTACAATGGAAGTAAATGGCGCCAATCCGTAAACATTAAAATACTGAATGATTCAAGATCCAATAAGATCAATGCTTGAAATTAATTTGCTGCGTATCCCAAAAAAAGGATTACATGCTGAGATTATAGCAATCTTCGTTTTATTACAAGTGCAAAAAATAAAGCGCAATCTTTGGAAACATTTCGTCTTAATATACAATTTCTTACATATCATTCAACACATGTACATTGAATTTAGCAATTATAGACCAGTTACTCAATTAACAAATCCAAACGAGGAGGAAAAAAGCAGGACAGATTAAAGTCCTCATTCAATCTATGTGGTTGTACAGTGTTGAGACGAAAAAATCCATTTGCTTTCAGTTTATAATCATTTCTGTTCCATATTCGTACAACGAGTCATTGGAAGTACCATGTCTATTCCACAAAAAGACATCTCATTAACTGGTATAATACACCTCTGGGAAATGTCCAGCAACTGGTGATTAACTCTCAGCTCTATTATAGCACTCCTGTGTTCATTAATATACACAATCTCAGCTTTTTTGAGATATGCAGCAAATTAATTTCAAGCTTTGAGCTTTTTTGTAAGGACCTTAAAGTATCTTGGAATCATGTGAAACGTGGATTGATAAATGCGCAAGATCCTTTTCTCTCTTTTTGATTCAATAGTATCGCTACAAGATGTAAATAATATGCATGTAATCATGATTTTAGTGTGAAAACAAAACAAAATCGCTTAGATTTTTGTTATATCCATTTTTACACCTTTGTCACAATGCCATAAGCCCTAAAAGGACTGTAAATGACTTTAACAGCTCAAATAATACACATGAACAGAATAATTAATCATTTTACATTTGTTTAAAATTAAACATTTTAAATCTTCCAAAAATTAGCCTTATTCACTTCCATTAAAAGTGCCACACACCATAACCTTGATTTTTACTTTCTTTTAAAGAAACCGACAAGTCAAATTTATTTTATTGAGGTAATAAACATAAACATTATGCCAGAGATACAGTTAACTTCTTCTGAACCTGAACATACCTTCAATTTAAGATGTGATTTCTGACATTCATTTGATGTTAATAAATGAACAGATTCTGAACATTTCTCTGTGCTTTTGAACAGGGGAGAGAGCGGAGGGCGCAGAAGTTAAACCTGGCAGAACGAACAACATCAGCCGTCAGAAAAGCTCTCGCCTGGAGAAGAGCCTGCGCAGTTTATCTCTCCAAACCGCAGACGACACCGACACGGACACTCGTTCTTTCACTGTGACCTCCAACACACCAGCAGTGCTGCTTCTCAACAGTGTTTAAACTAGGAACACACACACACACCTTCAGCGCAGGGGCCCGGATCTGACACTACAGTACGACGAAGGAGCTATTGTGTGAATCTATTATCATCTCAGTGTTACGGACATCTCATCTCAGACTGGTTTAAAACCATGAAAACCATGAAAGTATTAGAATTGCCATGCAGACACCAGCTATGAAGTGATGGGAGCTATATTGAACTTTTCATCATCACTGAGTGGATGTTCTTCATGTCTGAAATGTTCGTGTCGTGAATGGACACTTGTTTGTATTGTATCTTCTGCCGCGGCGTCTCACTGGCTCACTTGAAACCACTCCATTTTGATTGGTGTTAACGACACACACACACTAACTGTTGTAGCATGAACAATGAAGCGTCTGAACACGTATTCTCCAGCGACTGCAAATAAAGCTTACGACTGAAAGCGGCGAGTGGGACGCCAGCCTTAGCAGAAGATTTCTGCACTTGTTTTTCACTCTGTCGGCGTTGTGCGATGAACTTTCTCTATAGTCTTAGATTTACTCCACAGGTCATAACGTGACGAGGGACTCGTGTAGTTCAAAGCTATATATTTATACTCAATGTTTATCATGATGTTATCAATGTGTTTTCATGGCACACAGTTCTTATTTGTGTAATAAACAGATGCTCACAGCTTGAGTCTCTTTCCACCGTTGTGATTTCACACCGTAAGATGTTTTTATTCTAAAACAGAGAGTCTTGATCTTGTGATCTTGGACTTGAGATCTCACTAGACATCAGGGCCGAGTTGCATGAACTGCTAAGACTAGTCTTACAAGTCAGTCATCCAAATTTTTTCTTCAAGACTGTTCATAACTTTTTAAAGTTAGTTACATAAAAATGTACAATGGTCTAATTTGATACCGAACAGTAAGACTAATTACCCCTAACTAACTGCTAGTTGATCATACTAGTTCTTATACAATACTAGTTCACTGTCTTAACATAATGGCTATGTTTATGCTACTGGCCCCTGTGATCTCATAGGCCTCAGTCTCAAATTTAAAGGAATAATTCACCCAAAAACAACAATTGTCATTATTTACTAATCCACATGTTGTGTTAAACCCAATTGACTTTCTTTCATGGAACAGAAAACGATAAGTTTTGACAAATACCATATAACATGGGGGTGGGTATATGATGACAGAATTTTTGGGATATTCTTGGTCTGGATCTGGGTCTCAGTTTAAAACTCATAGTGTACTTTCGTTTTTTATGCGTACACTAAGGTATCCAGTGCACTTGCTGTAAATTTCATCGCTAGCAGCACATGGATATTGTACGTGCATGCACTATGGGGTGTGAAACACTAAGCAGCCAATCACGTCGATCATCGCTTACCTTTCCGTGAACTGATGTCGTGACCAATAACATTAGAGAAGAAGTTTGACACTCTCGTTGCCACCCTCAGAGAACGCAGTAACTTTATTTAGCCAATTATCACAAAATAACTCAGTAATCTTATAGCTTGGTTGATTTGGTTATAGCAAGCTAGCCTTCATGTCAGTCTAGTTGCTGCTTGCCAACAGTGAGCCTTTCATCAGCGGGGTTGGTTTTAACTCTTTAGTAGCCATTGACGGAAATTTCTGTAATTTATGAGACAACGCTTCCCTGCCATTGACGGAAATTTCCGGCTTTCTGTGTTTTCACTGTTATACAGTAGGGAGCGCTATGACACATCTTCTGAAGAGTGCTGAATCTCCTGATCAAAACACAGGCGAAGAAACAGCATTTAAACAAGCAATAGCATATGTAAGCACTAAGCAGATGCATGTGTAAAAAAAAGCCATCATCAACATTAAACAGCATTTCAAAACTGCCTAATGTTACTGAATGAAATGTCGACCCAGGACGAGGTTTTGGGGTGTTGATCGACTCGATCTACTCCATCTTTTTTTTGATCATCGTTCTGAATCCCATCTAGACGTATAGTCTTTGACAAAAATTTTTCTGTTTTGTTAAAAATGTTGCTTTTTTATGAAACTTACCCACATTCAACAATTCGTTGTTTTAAAAAAAGAATGCATTAAACTAGATTAAAACAGTTTTTTTTTTAGCAGAGGGTCTGTTCTTTTGATAAGTTGCATGTTCAGACATTCATACACCAAAATATTCTGGGGGCCATGACATTTTTGTGAAAATTATCAAAAAAGCTGGCGGTGGCTGGCAACTTTAAAAAAAAAAGTATGCTGGCGGGGAAAGAGTTAATAGTAGAAAGTGAAAATAAAGGTTAGGTAGAGGTCGCCATGCTAGCTCGCATGGAAAGGGGATAACTAAGGTTATAAAATAATCAAATGAAATTGGACTTATTGTCCAGTTTGTTGAAATTATTATATCAACAAACTGGCCAAACTAATATTTCACATTAATGTCATCCCATAAAGTAAGAACTGTAAAAGTGTAGGGTATGCTGTATCCATAGATTGCATTTATGTAATGTGAGGAGTCATTTTCTTACACGTTATTTGACACATATTTGATATAAATTTGAGTGCTCATTGTAATTGTAAAAGAAAACGAAGATATTGCAGCATAGGGACTACCAGCTATTGCTTGGAGGTAGTCACAAGCCATGAAAGCCTGTAATTGGTCTTCTTAAACTACACATTTAAAAAGCATTAGGCCATTAAGTACAAACATTTCTAGTAGTGCTCAAGATGTTGAAAAGACAGTATCACATTCTTTCCTGCAATATGGGAATGCGCTGTTGTTCTTATTTGGAAGGAAATTGGAGATTGGATTAACCTTACACTTGGTCTTCTTGGTGATAAACACTTCTACCACAGGGTGTCAGCAAAGCACATTTTGGATTCATAATGACAGGTTTCCTTATTGCAGCAAGATTTTTTGTGAAACTATGGGAAGGAGTTTTGTTGACTCACAAAATCATCTGAACTCACTGAAGGGGTTAAATTTATGACCGAAACAGCTTACTTTGAATACTTGATATCTGGAAGAAAAGAAAAGGGACACTTTTAGTAAGTGTGGGATCATTTTTTCCTGTATATTAAGGGCTCAATGCATTAACAGATTGTTAGAGGAGAGATTTTCTTTCTATTTGCTATTTCTTTGTTATGACAGATATGTCTTTGCACTCATGCAGGAATCTCTATAACCCCCTCACACAATCTCTCACCAATAGACTTCACTTCACATACTTCCAGCGTTTAGTTTAGTCAGTACGCTTCATTCAACCAGTTGTTGACATGACGGCTTTCTTTTCTTTCTTTAACCAACGGTCCGTGGACGTCGTGATGTCTGAGACTAGCCCATGCCGTCGTTTCACAGTCGAAAAGATGGAAAAACAACAAACTACTGGAGACCACAGCATTCAACGCATTCTCATCCTAGGGCGTCATATTCATCATATTTTGACATTTCGTCTACATCCAACCACATGGCACCCTTTAGCGTCAATATGAGACGCAGATAGATATGGGTAGGTCTGGGGTAGGGTTAGGGTTAGACCGCTAGGAGGCGCCTTCTGGCCCATATCTATCTGCGTCTCATATTAGCCGCTTTCCGACCAAGTAGTTACAGGAACTTAGTTATAGGAACTGTCCACTTCTAAACAGTTCTAAGAACTACTCTCCCCCAAACTCAGTTTTGCTGTTTGCGTTCGCACTGGCCAAGTGGCCATATCTGGTAGGAGGGGTAAGGGAGTGACGCAAGCACGGCGGCGGCGGCGCCACATACAACAACAACAAACCAGCGTGGAGAAGGCTATCGGAATGTTCCTGTTCTGCCTTGCCGGGACCTTAATAACGAGTACGAACGGCGGCGTTTAAAGATCTTGAGTTCTGTACAGAGAAACACAGAAGACGAAGGCTCCAGCGTAATATGATCTTAAATAATATGATGGAAGAAGATAGAAGAGCAGAGCGCAGGAGGCAAACAAAACGACGGGTAAGTTTAGCAAGCATTAGCAATTAGCTGGTTTAATGCGTTATGTTTGTCTTAAGTTATGAGTTAGCATAGCCTACATAGGCGAATTGCAACAGACAGTGAAGAAAATGTGTTGACAGTGGGCGTGACTTATAAGTTGAACCAATCAACGTAGACCTAGGGAAAGGGAACTAAAAAAGTCCTCGCTCTAGACTAGGTACTGAAAGAGTTATAGGAACTACGGTCGAACTAAAAAATCCCCAACTTAGTCCGGTCGGAACACGCGAAAAAAAGGGTTATAGGAACGTTAGGTTCTAGGAACTGCAAAAGTCCCTCCGGTCGGAAAGCGGCTATTGACGCTAAAGGGTGCCATGTGGTTGGATGTAGACGACATGTCAAAAGCGTCAGTATATGACGCCTTGGACGCAATTTCTGATGCCCTTCCCTCCCTAACTAACTTCCCTTTGTCTCGTTTCCTACTTGATCCCACTGGGGATCAGCTATGGAGCTGATTTATTATTTACAGTTTTTTTCTAGAGTTACTTGACGTCACTTGTCAAGGAAATTTGCCAGAGTAAATATTTCAGTTCCCTAAAAAGAAGTTATCAATTATTATAGGTGTGGTGAAACTACTATGGAAGCTTGTTTCCGCCACTGAATAAAAAATATATATATAATAATTGCGACTTTTTATCTCACAATTGCGAGATATGAAGTCAGAATTGTGAGAAATAAAGTCGCAATTGCGAGATATAAAGTCGCAATTCTGAGAAATAAAGTCGCAATTATGAGAAATAAAGTCACAATTGCGAGAAAAAAAGACAGAATTGCGACTTTTTATCTCACAATTGCGAGTTTACATCTCGCAATTCTGACTTAATAACACATAATTGCCAGTTTATATCTCGAAATTCTGACATCTTTTCTCAGAATTGTGAGATATAAACTCAGGAGTTATCAGGCCAATTCTAAGGGGGAAAAAAGACTGACTTTTTCCCCCTCAGAATAGTTTATATCTCACAATTCTGATTTTACAACACGCAATTTCGACTTTATATCGCGCAATTCTGACTTTATAACACGCAATTCT